CGTGTCACAGGAGAGGGATGAGAGGGATGCCAGGCTCAGGGCCAGGAACACTGTCCCCAAGGTCACTTGGGGGCAAAAGGTGGGACAGAGCATCTGAATGCAGGGCTGGGCACAGGAGTTCTGAGCAGGAGAGGGGAGGACCCTGCACCCACGTGGACGTGGCACTCAGGAGGGAAGTCAAGCTGTCCGGCAGGCGTGGCAGGTTCACCTGGTGGCTCAAGACCCTGTCCCCCTGCTGCAGACTTCTGCTGCGACCAGCTCCTGGGCCTGGCCAAGCAGGTGGAGCAGCTGAGCCTGGGCATCTTCCACCCGGCCTTCGCGCCCATCGAGCACATCAAGCAGCAGCTGCAACACATTCTGCCCAGCAACGTCCACATCCTGGCCTCGCAGAGGCTGGGCGTCTCACTGACCCGCTGGCCGGATGGCCACAATGTCATCATCACAGACTTCGCCAGCCGTGACGAGGTCATCCAGGTGAACAGGCTGTGGGCTTTGGGGCCCGGTGGCCGTGGGTGGTCTCCGTCTCCTTCCAGGCCCCTCCTGGGGCCGACATATCTGCAGGGAGGCGGGGAGACGGGGGCGGGGAGTGAACTTGCAGCCCCTCAGCTTGTTTACAAATGAGGAGTTGAGCGGCGGGGGGGTGGGGGGCAAGCTGAGCGTGGACACTGCCCAGCTTGCAGTGGGGGCTCCTCGGCCGCACACAGAGAGCATGGCTGGGGACGGGGCACAAGGTGAGCTTTTTCAGTCAGAGCCCCCCGAAGGGGCTGCTCTTTCCAGAGGGTGCCTGCCCAGCCCCGACCCCACCCCCGTCTCCCAAGTGCTTCTGGGCACAGTGGGCAAACACTTACTGAAGGTCTGTTATGGGCCAGTCACCATTCCAGGCGGTCACTGTAACAGAGGCTGACATACCAAAATGTTGCCCGAACCTTGGGGCTTCCAGCCTAACGCGTATGGGGTGCAGATAGTGACCACATCTGCGAGGAGTTCCGAAACAATCCAGCGTCGGAATGAAACAGGCTGACAGAGAGCCTCGTGGCCGAGGGAGGAGCGCAGGGACAGAGCCGGCGCGCTCGGGCAGGCGGGGGACTGGGCCCACGCTCCCCATCGGGGGCTGCACCCCCCACGCAGCCTGGGGTCCCTGATGCAGAATTTGCTTCACCTGAGGGCCCCCAGTGCCCCGCACAGGGCCTGTCTCTGAGTCTGCGCTGACCTGAATTCTCAGTGTGTGCAGGGAGGGGCCAGTCCCTCGCTGCAGGCTGATGTCCCCGGCTTCCTGAGGAGGCCCGCAGGGAACCTCAAAGGGCGTTCCATTGCCTTTGCTTATGTGGCACTTAGTACAGGGCCTGGCACATAGTAGGTGCTCAGTAAATGAGGTGCTCACTGGCGCCCCCATCTGGTCAGAGGCAGGATAGGCTCCACCTCCCCTAGAGGACCCGGAGGGCTGCTTCCAGGGCTCTGTGAGGCGAGGCTCTGCTCGAGCGGCGAGCTCTAGGCCAGCGGTTCTCAGCCCGGGTGACTTCCCCCTTGGGGCCACTTGGCAGCACTGGAGACATTTTGGGGTATCACAACTGTGTGTGTGTGTGTGTGTGTGTATACTACTAGCATCTAGCAGGTAGAGGTCCTGCTACACATCCCTCAATGCCCAGGACAGCGCCCACACCCCACAGCAGAGCATTGTCCAGCCCTAACACCAATAGCGTCAGGGTCTATGTCAAGGATTTTTTTTTACTGTAGGACTTGTCAGAGCCTCTCCTGGGACAGTAGGCAGTGTTTTCCAGGTGGGTAGGAAGTTGAGGTGTCTTGTTTGAGGTACATCTGGTTGGAATCAGTGTCCAACATTCCTAGATCCTCGGGGGAGCATCCTGCCAGACTGTGGAAGAAAACTGTGCTTGGTGCCTGTTTGTCCTTGGGGCAAGAAACCCCAGCAGCAGCCCCAAGGTGCAAGGGTCTGATCAGCAGGAAGAGGGCGGATGTTGAGACCAGCCTGCGTTCAAATCCCTTCTTAACTTTGGGAATTTGGCTGGGACTCAATGCTTCCCAGGGCCTCAGTCCTCTCCCCTGGACACAGGACCAATAACACCCGCCTGCGGGCTATCCTAGGATGAGACGTGGAGCTCAGAGCTGTTGTGGGCACAAGGCACATGAACACATGTTCCCGCTGACTCTTGTCTTTTCAGGCCTTGATCTGTTCCCTGTACTTCCCTTTCTACGGCGGGGTGATCCCCCCCGAATTCAGAGGGGAGGTAAGTAGCTGAGCTCTGCAGCCCGAGGCACCCGCCGATGGGAGGTGTGCGGGTGGAAGGCACCGGTGTTCCTTGAGCACCTGCCCTGTGCCAGCCTCTCCCTGCTCCTAGGTGCTCAGAGCCTCCTGGGCTAGGACAGACCTGGTGACTCAGGGGCGGGCACAGGGTCACTGGCTGCAGCCCCCGCTTGGCGGGCAGCTCCGCGGTGGTGTGGCAGGCGGGCAGCACCTGAGGCAGCACCGCCCACCCCATTGCAGCGCTACTTCGACGGGGCTCTGAGCAACAACTTGCCCTTCGGGGACTGCCCCTCCACCATCACTGTGTCACCCTTCTCCGGGACAATGGACATCTGCCCCCAGAGCACCTCGGCCAGCATGCTGGAGCTGAACACCTTCAACACCAGCTTCCAGATCTCCACCACAAACATATTCCTGATCTTCACCTGCCTGCTGGCCCCCTGCCCCGAGGTAGGTCCGGCCCCTGCCTCCGGCCTTGGGGTTGGAGCCTCAGCCATGCCCGAGGGCCCCGTGTCAGACCCTGTGCCCTGAGCCCTCCCCACAACCTCAGGGTGGTTGAGACACATGTCCTGAGTCTTACAGCCAAGCTCTCGAACCCGCAGCCTGGAGCCCAAGCTGTGCCTTAATGTTCTTCCCTCCCTGAGCGAGGGTGGGGTAGACGGGTCCCTGTCGGGGCAACGCGCTCACGCCAGCCCTGCTGAGCTCGGCCGGTGCCGCCCTGGGCCAGGCTCTGTGCGGAGGGGCTGCTAACATCTCCGCCTCTCAGGGGGGGCACCACAGCTCAGAGAGGTTAAATGACTTGTTCAGAGTCACACAGCCCAGAAGCTGCAAAGCCAGCTTTCAAATCCCCAGCTGGCCCAGTCCCCCCTTCTACCTGCTGCCCTGACGGGGGCCAGGGGGTGAGCCACGAGCTCACAGGAAGATGGCAACGCACCCATGTTCCTGTTTGCTCCTCAGCATTTCTGGAAAATAGGTCGTTTGACAACCAGCTGCATGTCCTAATGTGCTCCTCCACCACCCCCCCCCACGCCGGGCCCTCGCTTTCCTCCGCCCTCTTGCGGTTGTGTCGAGTTGTGTAATATAGGAAGCAAGTCAGGCTCCTTTTCTCTGGCCCCCCGGAGGATGGAAGGACAGACAGTCCCAGCCCCATTTTACAGACAAGGGAGCGAGGCGCTCAGAAAGGTGGGGGGCTGGCCCGAGGTCACACAGCGCAGGAAGGCAGAGCTCCTTCCCGAGCCTGCAGGCGCTTTCCCCGTGGTGGGGCTCTGGCCAAGGCAGCCGGGCACGGCCCTGGAGCTCCTCTGCCATCGCAGGCTGGTCCTGGCAGTGGCGATCAAAGGGCAAAGAATCCATCACCCACTGGCCTGTAGGAACCAGGCGATGGCCCAGGCGTCCGGGCCAGCGGAGGGGCCTAAGGCCAGAGAGGGGAGGGGCTGGAGCAAGAGCCCAGCCCGGTAATCACAGGGGTAGGAGCAGAGTGGGCAGCAGATCGGAGCCACTGTGCCCCTGAGTGCCAGGCCCCGGAGTCCCTGAGCCCTGCCAAGGGGTCTCTTGGGGAGTGCAGGCTGGAATCCCTTCCAGCTGAAGACAAGTCTCTGGCCTGCGACCATCAGCCCGAGGGCTGGTCCAGGCCTTCCCGGTCCCACCCTGACCTGCGTGTTGGCAGGTATTGGCCCACCACTGCAGACAAGGCTACCTGGACGCCCTGAGGTTCCTGGAGAGACGCGGTAGGTGACAGCGCCACAGCAGCTGGGAGCGCGCCCCACGGGAGTGCCAGGTGGATCCTGCCTCTTGGGCACTTGACGTTTTATGGGCCTTGGCTCACCCAGCCTCCTCCTCAGCATCTGCTCTGTGCCTGGCCTGAGCCAGGTGCTGGGGGCCCAGAGAGCCTGGTTGAAGGGGACAGATCCAGAGAGGGACATCTCCCCAGGGAGATGGAGGAGGGCTCAGGGCTGTGAGAGCCCAGAAGAAACACCTGACTCAGCCTGGGGGGTGGAGTGGGCAAGGAGGGCTTCCTGGAGGCAGTGACAGATAAGCTGGATTTTGTCTAGTTAGGGAGACTATGGGAAGTGTCGAGGAAGGAAAGGAAAAGAACATTGTAGTCAGGGAGGTGAGCAAGGGCAAAGGAACAGGCCAGCGCCCCGAGGGAACAGTGTGGCTGCAGGTGCATGTGTGGCTGCAGGTGCGTGTGTGGGCACATGTGTGTGGGCGCGCGTTCATGGGACAGCGGGTGGGCCAGAGAGGGCTTGATGTCATCCCACAGGGCAATGCTCTTTGCTCAAGTGCTAAAGCTGAGATTTGAACCCAAGCTGTCTGGCCCCAAAACCCATGTCTTGGACCCCCCCACACTATGGCCCCAAACACACGGCCGCGAGGAAGCATTTGCCGAGTGCTTACCGTGTGCCCAGCTTGGCCTTGAGCTCCCGGTACTCACCTAATTCTCAGAAAACAGTGTGGCAGGTCTTCATTTTCCCCGTTCACAGAGAGGGAAACCGAGGCAGGGAGCTGTCAGGTCACAGAGCTAACAGGCGGTGGAGCTAAGATTTGAACCCTGGGCTGGGTCTTCAGGGTCTGGGCTCTGATTAACCTCGAGAAAGTGAACAGGGAGGGAGCGGGGCAGAGCTGGGGGTGTGGGAAGGCGTCCATCAGGATGAGCCGCGGGCCCATCCCGTGACCGGCGGGTCCCCAGCGCGTCGTTTGGGACTGAATGGGGCGGATGGTGTGGACGGGGTGGAGAGGCGGGGGAGTCACTATCACTAGGAGGCTCCGGATGTGCTGACCTGTCATATCCCTCCTCTTGCCTGACCCAGGACTCACCAAGGAGCCAGTGCTGTGGATGTTGGCATCTAAGGAGCCCCCAGCCCCAGCTGATGGGACCTGGGACACTGGTCATGACAGAGGACAGGAGGCGGGCCTGTCGCTCAACTGGGCAGTGCCTAACGTGCTAGTCAAGAACGTGCCCAACTTCGAGCAGCTCTCACTGGAGCTGGAGACTGGTACTGCCCCTTCCTTACTGCGCTTGCTCACCTGGCAGGCGCCCTGTGCTCGGGGGCTTGGGGCTGGGACCCTGCCCTGAAGATGCTCACGGTCTGGAAGAAGACAGGGTTCTTTGGGTACCTGCTAAGTGCCAGGGTGGTGCCAAGGGGCTCTTACATGTTGTGTCACTCGCTCCTTACTACAACCGTGGGCCCAAGTGTTTTTTTCTTACCCCATTTCAATGATGAGAAAACTGAGGCTCAGAGAGGGAAAGGGACTCACCAAGGTCTCAGAGCCTGCAGCTGGGGGATTCGAACCCAAGTCTGCGCCTGAGAAAGCCAGGACTTTGGCCCACTGTCTGGGAAAGGGCAGGAGATACTGAGGGACACAGGAGGGGCCCACAGGAGGGGCCAGACTCAGTTCACCCTCTCAACAATCCTCTGAGGACGGCTCTGAGCTGTCCCCACTGCACAGATGCAGAACCCAGAACCCAGAGAGGTTAAGTGACTTGCCCAAGGTCACATAGCTGGCAAATGGCAGAACCAGGAGTTCTGCTCTGAACTGTTTAGCTTGTTCTCCTGCTCAGTGACTGAAACGTCACAGTTGCGATGTCAGGAAAGTTCAGGGTCCCACAGACACATGTCATGGTGCTGCAGGGGGTGGGTTAGAGCAGCATCTAAGCAGGACAGGAAAGGAGGAGTTGGCCAGGCAAAGAGAGCGGGAGGCGAGCGTCCAGGCAGAGGGCACAGCATGTGCAAATGTCCTGGGGTGCTGTGGAGGGGAGGACCCGGAGGCCCCTGTGGCTGTAACACGGTGGTTGAGGGGCAGGGAAGCAGAGATGGGCTTAGGGAGGCTGGAAGGGTTGGGCAGGCGGCTTAGAAGAGAGAGACAGAGCCACTGAGGGGTTTGCTGGCAGAAAGCACCCTTTTCAGAGGTGCCTCTGACCCCCAGGCCCAGAGATTACTGCACCTAGCCGGGGGCACAGGCTAAAGGGCCAGGAGGCTGGGAGGAGAGATGACGGTGCAGGGCCAGAGCAGGGACTGTGAGGTGGGAGGGGGGTGGGCGATGGGGTGCCTCTTTCAGCGCTGGAGACACCGGGGGATACAGGAGTGGGCTCTGGTGTGCGCTGAGCCGGCTGGAGCTTGGCGCCCTGGAACCCTGGCAGCACCCCTGCCGCCACACGGGGGCACCAGAGAGCCACCTCCTTGAAGGGGCACATGGCCAGCGCCCGGGAGGTTCTGGGGGCACCCGCTTCGGGAAATGGAATTGTCATCTGGCCTGGCCCCTGCAGGTGTCCCGTAATCCTCACCTGCCTGCCAGGGGGTCGGTCCTGCTGTTACAGGGGCGGTAACCTGGGTTCGGGGAGGGGAAGGGGCGTGTCAGGTACGCGGGGGGCTATGTCTTCGGACTGTGCTGAGTGTGAGTCCTCCCAGCGTCTAGAAGTCAGGGTGGGGGGTGTGCGCGGCTGTGCCATGGTCTGGGCCGGGGATTTGGGCTCTGGCTCTGGCTCCAGCCGGGACGCAGGTCCCGCCCACTCTGGTCAATTGGGAGGAGAGAGGGCTTGGAAAACGGTCGTCACGGTCCCAGCTGTTGCCACTGTTGTGGGTAATGATACGGATGTGCCACTATTATCGAGGGCGGGATGGGCACCTGCCCCATCTTGGGTGGCCCCAGCAGACTTTCCAGAGGGCTGGGCGGGGTAGAAGAGCTGGAGGAGCCTGAGGAGGCCTCGGGCCCATCCTGGCCCTGCCATTTCCTGGGGACAGCCTTTGGGAAGTGGCTCCTCCGCTCTGAACCTCCGTCCCCTCCTCTGTGAAAGGGGCGCACCTTGCCCGGCTCAGGGACTGTGACGGGAGAGCCCCAGCTGAGGGCCCGGCCCTGCGATGGCTCCCGGTGGGGGGTGAGCCGTGGGGGGGCGCAGTCTGGGGCCGAGTGGGGGGAGGGAGCCGGCTGCGGGCCGGGTGGCATGCCACGGCTTCTCCTGCAGCGCTGAAGAAAACATGCAGGAGGGACCCCGGCGCCTGGGCCCGCTTCCGCCGGTCGATGCCCGGGAAGGTGCTCACGTGCCTGCTGCTGCCCTACACGCTGCCCTTCGAGTACGTCTACTTCCGGAGCAGAAGGTGAGGGGGCCAGTGCCGGGGCAGGAAGGGCGGCCGGCACACCATGGGCAGAGCTTGGCTGGTCTCCCTGAGACGCCTGGTGCTGGCTGAACGACCCAGGGGGGTGTGGGGGACTGCTGGGGAGGCAGTGTGCCAGCTGTGGTCAAGCTGGGGCCTCCCGGGGGCGCCTTGGCCCTTCCCCTGTCTCCAGGACCTTTGGCCCATTGCTCCGCCTGTCAGAACCTCGGGGACCATGTGCTATTTTAAAAAATAACCCTAGGGGCTGGTGTGGCACAGATTTGCTGTGTGGCCCGGGCCAGGGCTCTTGACCTCTCTGGGCCTCAGAATCCTTTTGTGTACAACCGGGCTCTTCCATGGCAGACTGGCTGTAGTTAAGGGCTCACTAACCATTTTAACGCTGCTGTTCATTTATTCTAGCAACAGTCATTGCAGGCTGACCAGGGGCCAAGCCCTGGCTGGAGGTGAGGGAGGCGGCACTGCCCCAGACCCAGTCCCTAGCCTTGTGGAGCCTGACAGGGCACAGGTCATCACACATTCACTTGCGTAATCACCGCTCTGCCCAGAGATACCTAGGGAGGTCTAGACCAGCTGTGAACCCAGACGGCTCACACTAGCAGCTAGTCAGAGAAGGCTGCCTAGAGGAGATAATCTGAAGGGTAAGAGTCCACCAAGCAAAGAGGGAAGGGCAAAGCATTTCAGAAGGATAGAACAGCACGTGCAAAGGTCCTGGGGCAGACGGGAGTAAGGCTCATTCAAGGAGCAGTAAGTCCAGTGTGGCTGACAGCCTGAGGCCTGGTTTAGAGGCCCCTCTAAGGCCAGCTGGTGGGGGAAGGGAGGCCCTGTAGTGTCCAGTGAATCCAAGAAGGTGCTGGCCAGGCGCTTTCTCTGCTACAGCTGGATGCCCGGCCCTCTACTGATGCTGCAGGGCTCACGTGGGGAGCACAGGGGGCTGGAGCAAGAGAGGGCTATGGGGGGCTGTGTGCTTTAGGACGGTCACTGGCTGCTGGGAGGACAGTGCAAGCAGGGTATGGAGTGGGGAGCTGGGCTGGGGAGAAGAGGGAGGAAGGCACAGAGACAGGGAGGAGGGTAGGAACTGTAGGCAACATGACTGTCCTTATTTGGCAGATGAGAAAATTGAGGCCCAGAGAGGTTCCCTGCTCTGCCCACGTCACACAGCTGATGAGCAGTGGGGCTGGGTTGCACCCGGAGCCACCTTGACCCCAAAGCCCTGCCCTTTCCTCCCTGGGCTTTCCTTTTGTGCTCCGTGGAGTCTGCCTTCAGGGCCTGGCCACCCCCACCAAGCTCAGAGTCCATTAGGTTTCATTCCCAGGCCCCTCACCCCCTATAGGTGCCCTGTGGGCTGAGCTGCTCTGTGGTAGAACCAATACTTCTGGACGCTTCTTACCCCCTTCCTTCAGCCCTGGTGCCTGGGTGCACGGGCCCTCGACTCCTCCCTGGGCCCATGGGGAGGGTGGGCTCAGCTGGGCCAATGCTCGAGTGAAGCTGTTGCTGTCCCCTCCTCCAGGCTGGCAGTGTGGCTGCCCGACGCGCTGGCTGACTTGCAGTGGATACAGGGCGAGCTGAGGGGCTTGGCCCTTGGGGTGTACTCCAGGGTGAAGGACCAGCTCCTCGGGCTGCTCAGGTGAGGCGGGAGGACAGGCGGGGTGGCGCAGAGAGGCTGTCCTTGGTGGGCAGGCAGGCCGCACGGTCCGCGCTGGGCCTGGCCAGTCTGCAGGACGCAGTCACCACACCCTGCACAGGGGCAGCCGAGCCCACAGAGGACAGTCAATCTTCCCGCTTGGCCAGGTCCCCGTCAGTTCTGCCATCTTTCCGGATGCCCCTACAGGCCCTGTGTGGGGTCCCCAACCTGCCTGCCCTGCTGGCTGGAGACCCCGCAGTCCTCCTGCACCCCCTCATCAGCCATCTGTTTCCCAAGGACACCTGTGTGGCCCTCCCAGGAAGGGGCTGTCCCTGGAACCTCTATGTCACTCCCAGTTCAGCCCGGATAAGGGTCTCAGCCTTCCTTCCTTGTCGCAGGATTTGGGGGGAGAGAGACTGGGGCTCACTGGGTGCCAGGCTGCCCCCAATAGCTTCACCCCACCCTTCATCCAGCCCTGGGCTTGACAACCTGTCCTCACTTCTGCTTCCTCTGTAGCCTGCCCGTCACCAGCCCTCTCCAGCTGGAGGCAGCTCCTCCCAAGGACCTGGCCAAGAAGCCCAGCCCCGCCCTGCCCATCAGGCCCAAGTGACACCAAGCTGGGCCCAGTGCCTGGCCTCTCCTGATCGCTCTGGACCTTGTTCTGTGTGCCCATGTCTGCCCCTTGAGTGAGGCCCGGATCTGACTCGACTTCTGGAGTTCAGAGCCTGCTGGGGTGCCCCTGGCCCAGGGTGGGCCCTGGAATTGTTCGCCAATTGGAGAACTGAGGGGATGGCCTCCCTTTTTCCCTCAGGCTCTTGTCCCAGACCATGTGGGTGGGCGGCCCTCAGGAGCCAGAGGAGACCCCACCAGCCCCTCTGGAGCCCCTGCTCCTTGGAGCCCATTCCCTGGGGCCCAGGTACTTCTTTCTGGGGAAAGGCCCAGCCTGTTGGTATGTCCTGGGTCACTGTGCACCCAGGTCACCCCACCCCTGGAATTTCCCTCTGGGTGGGGCTGGGGGCGGCTCTGCTTAGGAGAGGGGTCGGGTGCAGGGCTGCTCGCCTCAGAGATTGGGGAGCAGGTGGAGTGATGGGGTGGTGTGCCTCCCCTCGGACCCTTTCTCTGCTTTCTCTGCCCTGTGCCAGCCCTCGGGGGTGACCCCCGTGGTCTGCTCACTCCAGCAACCTTGACCTCCGACTTCCTACTGGGTCCACCCAGCAAGAGCTAAGGCCCTGCAGGAGGCGGGAGGTGAGAGGAGAGAGGCTCGGGGATTAAAATCTATTCAGAATCCCAGTTGCATGTGCTTCTGTTGGGGTGACCACCAGCTGCCACCACCATAGCCCCCCCCCCATTCCACAGGAAGGGTGACGGTGCCTCCGCCCCGCCCCTGTCCCTCCCTCCCTCGGCAGAGAGGCTGCTGGGACAGCAGACCTTTCCTGGCCTCTCCTGGGAGTGACTGCTCTCCCTGTCCTCAGAGCAGGACCCACCCTGTGCCCCCGGCCAGGCCCTTAGGAGATGCTGAGGTGGCTCAGCTGACAAAGCCGACGGCCCGGGAGGTGATCCAGGCCAGAGTCCCCTGACGCGTCACTTCGGTGCTCTCCTGACACAGAGCCCTGAGGTGTTACAGAGCAAAGGAGGGGTCCTGGGCTCTGAATCCAGGTGCACTTGGGCTTGAGTCCCACCTCTGCGACTCAGCATCGTGACCCAGGACAGTCCCCGTATCTCAGTTTCCCCCGAACCGAGTGGAGACCATAGAAAATTAACCTGAGAGGACGAACCACTCCTTGCCCGCTGCCCCATGCAGCAGGGCCTCCTGCTCAGAAAGGCGTGCCAACTACCCTCTGCTCCGGGTCCGAGCCAGGCTGGGAGGAGCCTCACTCCGCCCCGGCTGGGGGGGGGTCCGGACAGAGCCCGGGGGAGCCGTGATGGGATGGCAGGGCCCTCTCTGGACTCGGCACAGTGGCGCCCCATCGGTTGTGCTCAAGTCGTAGGTCCACCCCCCCTTCCTCCCAGGGTCCCAGCCGCGGACCTCCCCGGGCCCTGGCGCCCGGCCTCTCTCACTCTCCATGCGTCTGGCAAGTCTGTACTGAACGAGGAGGTAACCCTAAAACGTGGATAGTGCCCACGAACAGGAAAATGTGCCCCGAGGCAGCGCACAAAGCTCAGCGGCCGGGCCCCCCGCAGCTGCGGCTCCCAGGGGCGGGCAGGGCCCGGGGC